GTCATAAGGCGAGAAGATGAGCCGATTCGGCATGTTCCTCGACTTTATGAAAAAAAACGCTATGAAACCGAGCCACGTTCGACGCGCACGCCAACGGGCGAGCAATATCGTCGCTTTAGACGCCCGTAAAGGTCACGTAATTAATTTCGATCCGCCAGCCGATGAGATCGCGCGCGCTCCGCGAATAGATCGTTTTCATGGTTTATCGCACTTCCTCGAGAACATTTCCCACGTTACGTATCCGCCTGACGTCGAATCGCGCGTGAACACCTCGATTCCAAAACTCTTTTCGTCAGGTAGAGTAGCGTTTAATCAACCAGTAAAGAAATCTTTGCTCTTTTTGTCCTGATTGGTCAATTAAATGCTACCAGTCGAGTAGGGTTTTAGAACATATCCCTCGGCTGCCTCAGGCGGGAAAATAAAAATTGGCAATCTCGCACGCGCACGTGGGGAACGCGGAAAGTTTCGTCCTTAACCACGGACGCCGAAATGATATAGGAAAAATTCATGCGTCTCCATAACGAGGGGCCTCACCTGCGGTGGTTTTGACGTGTCGTGACGTGATCGACGAGAATCGAAAGTTACTTAGCCGTGTGACCCTATAACGTGATGGAACTTTGAAGTGATTTTTTCTGTAACGCGTTATCGCGGAACGATGACTAGTTGGATCGAGAGAAAGAGAGAGAGAGAGAGGACTTTGGCCGCGTGAAAATTATCGCACGCGCGGTCGCGCTCGGTGACGTTTTCGATGTCCACGATCACTTGATCTTTACCTTGTGCTATTGATCTTCAATTGACGATATCACGTAACATTTCAATTTTCGCTGCGATCGTTCACGCGTATCACGTGTATATATACGACGCGTTTATACGTGATTCGACATACGTGTGATTTGGTTATATGATAATGCGCGAAAACTGCGCGAGAAATGAGATAGTCGTGCACAATCGAAGCGGCCGATAACAATCGGCGGCGGGAAAACGCGGAGTTTCCGATGCGCTGTCACGCCACATCGTAAATCCCACCGTCTAAGCATCTGAGCATTATACCGTCTTATGAGAACGATAAAATTCGATATGACGCCGTAAAGGAGCGGATTAATTACGCGTTAACTCGAAGACAATCTCGCTTCTTCTCTAATCTATCGTGCGAACGATATTATTGAGAGGCGTGGTGGACTTCAAAGCACCTCGAAGTTCTAATAAACGTTGGGACAAGAGAAATCGATAGGTGTGATATTTATATTTAATAGTAAAGTGCTTTAATAAATCAACATCGATTTGTCCAAATTATAATAGAATTATTTTCTAAAATGCAATCAGTATATTATCACTGAGAAGCAGTCAGTAGTCACTAACAAAATTGGAAGTATCGTTTTATCATTTACCCGTTATAAATAAGGCGTTATATTTTTCAAATCTGTAAAATATTACATCTAGATATCCAACTATTCAAAGTTGATAGAAGATATTATTATATTTATTTAAAAGATGTTGTTATTATTACTTCATTTTATTATCTTAATCCCAACTTTTAAAATATTGTTAATGATTTTGTCTGAAATATTCTTAATTATGTTCAATTGATTTAATTTATATCGTATTTGAGAAACACGCTTATCCTGATGGGGCTCGAACTCGAAACTTCTAGCTTTTGAGTCTGATATAAACTAATGTCGCCAAATATAACATGATTGAATGTATATATATACATAGATATACATTTCTGCTACAGGACACTTAAGCGATTTGCAGTGAATCTTTTACTGGCCGAAATTAGTGAAATATTAAACAAAAGAACTAAGTGGAAGGGTTTCTAGCAAAAATCAACGAATACCCATTGATTATTGATAGAATATTATTTCACTGATTCAACTTAAGGGAGTTTTTTTACCGCGTATATCGCAACATCGAAATGATGAAATTCCGTAGGAGATTCGGACGCCCGCGAATTCCAGGTTTTTCCATTCCGAGGCCGAACCACTTACGTTACCGAGGACGCGGCACAGTTTTACCTCTTGCGTTTCCGATGAATGAAGCCGACGAATACGCAACACGTCCCACGACGACACCGATGTCGATCTCATTATCGTCTTTCGCCGGGGCGATATTCATCGCTTCGCCTTTCGTTGCACGTACCGCGATCCGCGAGACCCGCGAGATTCGCGCGCTACAACTTGCAAAAATCCCACGGTAACGACATGCCGCGCCCCGCGCTGCCTTCGTCATCGTAATGTCGGCGCAGCGACGCTATCGAAATTGAAACGGGTATACCTACGCGTCTCATTGTAAGACGAGTTGTATTCACGCCCGTATAACTGACGACGTAGTCTTACCGTTCTGCAATGTCGACAAACAATGACGGATATTTTCACTTAGTTGCACGTACCGCTCGACCGACTAACCAAGCATCCCCGCGAATCGTTATCGGCGCCTCCAACGCTCGCGATCTATCGCGAGTGCTTTTCGTATCAGCGCGTCCGCTTCGTCGAACTTTACTTTATTTATCCGTAACTACCACGGTGGCTGTTATTCGCGCAATCGAGCGAGATTTTCCTTCACGCGTAAAAGTGCTCGAGTGCTTCTCTTTTTCTCTCTCTCATCTAGAAATTGAGGAAAGATGAAGAAGCAAACGCGTTGCATGAAATGATGAAACAGCGACCGCCGAACGACGGTGTAAAAATTCAGCTTCGCGCTCGGCGCTCGGAAATTTTCCTAAATTCGGTTTTATCACCGCGGTGTTATCTGTTTATGGAGCAGCTCGAAATACACGGTGATCGGCAGAACTGGAACGGCATCTCTTAAATCTGAATTTATCAGCCATGATTGCGGATGAATCCCGAAGCGCTGTCGCAAAAAACACGTGGCAGTATTTCCAATTATAAAGTAAACTACCCCTCTCTCTCTCTCTCTCATCGAGTATTTCGATCATTTGTGACATTAATCCACTTTGCTTCTCCTCCACAACGGAGGAGATTAATAAGTTACGCGATGATCGCTTAAATAAAGATGGACACATTGTTGTGCCCGAATCACAATTTATCGACACGATACAATTTTCATTGTATTGCAGACTTTCTTCGTCGGAATTTTGCCGCGAGCAACGTTATTTCAAGTCACGATATCCATTTTCGCGATAAATTGTGACAGATTCGAATTAATTCAGTGGGCAAAATTTAAAAATATTTTTAATATCATGCTTTTTCGCCGTACGAATCAATGATAATTTGCATCTCGCGAACTAATATCTTCATTTTTTTACTAAAATATAAGCGACCGTGTATTCAACAAATCCCTCTATTGTAAGCATTCTATTTTAAGAAATTCCATAAATCATGATTACTCTCACGGACATTAAACACCGATACCTCGTACTTAATAAATTCGCGTTTCTGCAGATGTCGCGATTAATAATAGATCAAGCGCTCCTGACGCGCGTGTTGATCCAGCAGAATTCATTGCTCCGCATTCGAAAGACACGAAGATATGCGAAGTAAACGAAGAATCGCATTCACAGAATCTACATATATAAATGCTGCGTAGAAGAATTAAAATTCTGACGTTCTTCCTCGCAAAATCTCCGGTACACACGGTGATTCGCGTCATTCGCCATAGTTCAATGTTTACGGGGTGTACCTTAAAGAGAATATAAAGGAAAATAAAGGAAAAAAAGCACGTAAGTTTTCATCCTTCCAGGATAAAGTATTACGATTGATCGCATTTCATTTCAAGGAGCGTCGGAGAAATGCATTGAAATTTAAGAACGCCCAGCGCAACGGAAGAAATAGAGAATATCTTGCAGTCGATCGGCTGCGCCTGCGATATCCAATTTCAAAGCGTTCGCGATAGGTATACAAACACTCTCTCTCTCTTTCTCTCTCTCTCTTATCCGATTCGTTCTCTCGCGCGCTTCGCCGAAAAGAGAAAATAATGATTGACCTGTTGACGCCCACCGCGCTGTGTCCCGGATTAATTTCGTATCTAATATTTATGGCTTATTGATACTCGATCATATTCCCGGTGACAAGTTGAAGTTTCGACGCCCGATATAAATACATACACGTACATATATATATAATTCCGAAGACGCGAAGTATATTATTAGGCACCGGCGATTAATCCGCCGTACCTTGATATTCGATTTCAAACGGTATCTTGACGGAATATAGGCCCCCACGTATCCTTCGTTTGGTCCGTTATCGACAAAGTTGTCCGTCACGGCGCAACAGGTAAGCTCAACTTCAAGTTCTCACTTTCGTCCGCGAATTTTGCCCGAGTTGCCGCGTGTGAAATTTCCGTCTCCCTCTCTCTCTCTCTCTCTCTCTCTTTTGCTACTCCTCGGTTTTGACAATCCCGTTGCCATCCCATGAAGTACGTAGTAACATGACTTTGATTGCTCGCACTGTCAGAAATAATTCGACAACTTCCGCTTTGTGATTTATGATGGGAATGAAAATTACGTAGGCATGCGGGGCTCTCTTTCAATTTAGGGCACGACATCCGGCCTGCTTTGTTGCCGGGAAATAAAGCGCTTCTCGATAACTATTTCCCGAGGAATCTTTCGACTGCTCTCTCACGAGGAAGAGAGAAATAGAGAGAGAGAGAGAGAGAGAGAGCGAGAGGGAAGATGCGTATTAATTTCCCGTCGCGTGCGCTAATTATTGCTCGCGCTCGACCACCCCCGCCGTGCTTCTCGCGACTTTCGGAAGCTCCGCATCAAGTTCGATCATCCCCGGATAGAAGTTTCTCGCCACTTTCGGGACGATATTACGCCAACGAGAAACTTGCGATTGTGTTCCTTTGATCGTATATTGCGTAAGAGTTGCGCGACACGTTGCGCAAGTTACGTCACCGCGGGAGGAAAGAAAAAGACGGATGATCGCACGTGTAAAAGTTTCGAGCCGCCATCTCTTCGACTGGCTTTGTATCGCAGCGCTTCGTTTTCGTCCCTCGTCGTCGCGACGAGCTCCGTTACAAGCTCGATCGTGTCTTGTTTGCAGCAACTGAAACACTCCTCAAGCCGTGCGAAATGCGGTCGCGAATGAGCTTTGTTCGCTTCTTGGCCTGCCTGCTTTTGGTCGCCGTCGTCAGGACTACGAGCGCCTACGCCGAACCGGAACCGATGGCTCGGCCGACCAGACCGAAGGCGATCGCGAGTCCCGAAGAACTGGAAAGATATTTGGACATCGTCAGAGATTATTACTCCTTGAGAAGGGCAAGGTAACGATAACGTTCGCGAGCGTCGCGATGCGACCGTTATTTTATAATACGATTAATCTCTTAATGAAAAATGCTGCTTAAATATCGCGTGCAGGTACGGCAAGCGCGGCGGTGACACGGCGCCTCGGATGTCGGAATTGAACAGCACTTGGGAAACCCTCAAAACGATCCTGGACGTGCAACGGCAGAATCAACAGCGCAGGTTGGGCAAGCTCAAGCCGAGCAAAGAGCAGGAAATCGCGTACCGCGATTATCACGGCTTGGACGCCGACAGACACCGCCTCGCTACACGATCCGGTTACCTTCTGGACGCAGTCGGCAGATACTACGACGACGTGCAATAAAAACGGCCCCCGCGTAGCGTCTCTAATTTCAGGAGTCTCACTGAAAACGGAAAAAGAGAAAAAAGAAAAAAAAAAGAAAAATATATCGAAGTCCTCTTCCACCATTCCGAGCAATCGTGATATAAATCCTCCCCTGTCGATGTTGAATTGACTTCTTGCTTTTCTTTCCTTGTCACGACTTGACTTCGTGTCGCGGATCTGTATCTAACTAAAGGATAATCGCAAGCGAAGCGTACAGTATGTCCGAATAAAACCAAGAGGTACGCGAGAATGACGAGGGAAAGAAAAAGAAAGAGAGAGAAAGAGAGAGGGGGAGACGGTGGGTTTCCGTCTTTGCGAAGGTTACGCGATCTGATGTTCATGATCGGAAAAACTGTTCTCGGTGTCTGATCGATGACGCTCGAAATAAATCGAGTCCTACTAATTATGTGATACGAGTTTAGGTAGCACGATTGTAACTCTCCCCCTTTAATATTACATGTAAATTCCTTTGTTAACAAATGGAGCATAATAAAATTAAATCGAACTTAGACACATCTACCTCGAACGAGCGAGTAATTGTAGAGATGACTATCGTCCGTTTAGCGGCGAAGTCCAATGTACGGACTGTATTAGATTTACTCGTACTGAATCAAGATAAAAAAAATAATCTTGAATCAATTATAAATAATTCTCATATATAAGCAAGAATATTCTTAAAAGATTTTTAATCTTGGATTGAGTGTAATACTTGCATCAATGCAAATTCAATCAAATCAAGACTAAAAATTTCCTAAGAAGATTATATAAGATTCTTGCTTACGAAAATATTTTCTCTTGATTTAAATCTAATCCTTTTTTCTGTGCAAATGAAATATCAGGGAAGAGATATATTAATATAAATTTCGAAGCTTTCGAATTTCTATATTTTTTATTCGATGTACTAATCGCTGATATAAATTATATTATTTTAAAATATTGAATGTGTATTCAAACACAGAATTTGATTTAACGGGTGAGACTCAAAAGAAAAAAAATGTCGCGGCGAGTGAGAGCGTGTGTGTATGTGTGTGTGTGTGTGTGAAAGAGAGAGGGAGAGAGAGATTCAAAGGCATTAAAAGATATTTAATATTAGAGATTGAAAAAAAGAGCGCACACGAGATGTTTGAGAAAATTTATCAATTACGGATAACTTTCAAGTGAAAATATCTCATCAGAGAGAAGGTACGAAACATGATCTATGATCTTTCGGGGATATATGGAAAATTAATAATTTATCGCGAAGAGGACGACGGTATCAACCGATTCGTAATACAACAGACACAAGATAGAATCGAAACATGAACAATGCCTTTATTCAATGAGTTACAATACGATGACATTGTTGGATTAAGGTAGCTTACTATACTACAAATAAATAACTATCGATGACCAATAATTACTCCTCATTCTATAGAACGAGATCTTTAGAGCAGAGATAACTGAAGTTTAAACTACTGCGTTAACGAACGACTACATTGTAAAAGCGGATTATAAAATGCAGGCGGTGGTGCTGGCTTGTTTAGATGTCGCGCGCTCAGAATTAGTAGACCAGGTTAGACCTAAACCGGGGATTTCCGTGCGTTTTTTCAGCACTGTTATCTTCCTCGCTCGCATAATCAAACCAATCGTCCTCCTTGTTCACGTCCTCGTTCTCCCCGTTGATCTTGTAAACTTCTTTCGGAGGTACCTTGCACTTTGCTCTCCCCGGGAAGTCGCAGACGAACCTGAGGTAGTCGAAATTCAGGCCTTTGGGACAGGACTGCTCGTACGCTATGCCGTTGCTGCACATGCAGAACTTGCGGCAGTCTTTGTTCGGGATCAGTATCGTGTAGTTTTTCGGATCTTCCCAAGGGCAGCTGCCGATACAGGCAGTTTTGGCATCCTCTTCTGCGGTCTGCTCGCAGGGATAATTCTCCGCGAAGTCGCAGACGTTCAGAACAGGGTTGAAGTGCAAGTCTCCCGAGCACTGGCGCAGCATTTTTTCGCCGTTGAAGCAGTCGTAGTAGAAATTGCAGTTGTCCTCGTGGGGGATCTTGCTGGCTCCCTCGGCGGGGCACTCCACCTTCAAGTTGCAGCGGGCGTTTTCCTGGAAGTCGCAGGCCCCGATAACCGGGTTGAAGTGAAGACCGTTAGAACATGTCTGCAGGTTTCTGTCGCCGTTCTTGCATCTGTAATACTTCGAGCAGTCGTACTCGTGAGGCACTTGAGAGCCGTCTTTCTTACCGACGCACCAGCTGGAAGGTGAGAGTTTGGGTGTTGTTACTAAGGTAGACGGTGTCTGAGTCAATATCGGAGTGGGTATCGTGCACTCCTTATTATCCGGAGGATAATCGCACATCTGCAGGATGAGGTTGAAGTGGAGACCGGCCGGGCAAAACTTCAGAATTTTCCGCTGGTTCACGCATTCGTAATATTCAGTGCACTTGATCTCGTGCGAATATTTCATACCCTCTTCTTCGGCCGGGCACTCGCCGGAGTAGTCAGTCACGAATGTTCCAGAAGGAGTAGGTGTCACGGTGGTCTTCGGAATAGGTCGGACACATTTCACTGACTCTGGAGAGCCGCAAAGCTCTCGAACGTAGTCGTATTCCTGACCCGGCGGGCACCTTTTCAGAATCATATCGCCGTCATGACACTCGTAGTATCTGTCGCATTGGCATTCGTGAGGCAACTTCGTCCCGCTTGGGCCCTCCGGACACTCGGCCAAGGGAGGCTTGTCGTTGCAGTTTACGTTATCCGGCCAGTCGCAGTTACGAATCATCGGATGCGGGTTGAAGAGAAACCCGGGTGGGCATGTTTGCATGTTCTTCTCGCCGTCGGTGCACAGGTAGTAGGAATCGCATCTGAACTCGTGGGGTACCTTGATGGTCCTGCCATTGGTGTTCTTGGGACAGACATCAGGCTCCGGTGATGTCGGTAGTGATGTCGATAGTGTCGAGGATGGCATCGAGGTCGGTGTCGGAGATGGTAAAGATGGTGTCGACTTAGCTGTCGACAATGACGGAACGATGATAGTCGGTTCCGTCCCCGAGGACGTTTTCGTCGATGGCGTGACGGTAATCGTTAAAATCGGTGTCTCGGTCGTCGTCGTTGTCGTGGTTGTCGTCGTGGTTGTCGTGGTCGGAAGTTCTGTGCTCGTCGTAGTCGTTGAAGTTGTGGTTGAATGATGGCGATTCGTACAGTTTGCTTGAAACGGCCAATCGCACACCTGCAGCTCGGGATTGAAGTGCAACCTCTTGGTATGCGCTTTGTCCATGAAGGGACAATCCTTCTCTATTTTATTGCCCATGAAACACATGTAGAATTTCGTGCAGTCGGTCTCGTGCGCAAGATGGATTGTAGTGTTCATCGGGTCAACCTCAGGACATTCCGTCGGGATTTTGACTTGCGTCAACTGGCCGAATGTAAAGGCGGCCAACGTGGCCACGGATAAAACGGCCACTGAATAGATCCCTGAAAGATTCAAGAAAGCCTTGAGATTAATTATTCGTGAGATCAATGTCGGCGATTAGATCGGAGACGTGACGTCTCTCATTCCCTTGTCGATACCGTCCTGATACAAGTGGCTTTAATTTACTTCTTGTAACAATTTATTAAGATTTCAATGCGATCCGCCACTTCTTCAGGTTCCTCGCGAATTATAGTCTTGATTCAATCTAATCAAATGAACGCAGAAAAATAATCTATAAGCGCGCAATTTATTAAAATATTTTAAATCTTTGCACACGATGTGCGTGCGTGCGTGCGTGCGTGCGTGTGTGTGTAAAGAGAGAGAAGAAGAACACGTTGTTATCTCGCGTTTCTTCTCATCGACATATGCGCACTATCGACCACGATTATTCGCGTAAAATTCTTTCCCTTTCCGTAGAAGTGTACATAGTAAAAAATGTTGTGTTAAAAACGGCCCGTTGAAATTTATGTATTACTTTAACATAGGGAATGTATATATGGGGAAAATATACAAATATAATGTTAAGTTATTATGTTCGCTTCGTTAACATATTCTTTTTTAATATATTCATCTTGTTAAACTAACACAAAATTTTTTACTGTACTGTGACCGTCACAGTCGACGATTTAAAATTAGAATCGTCCTGATGCGTCTCACTCGTTTCCCTATTTGTCTTCGCTTCATCACTTATTCGTGTTTCGAGTTCCGTAAATGGTAACGAGCACTCACCTTTCATCGTGGAGAACCCCAATCGCTAGATCGTAGAAGACTGGGATCTTATTCCCACCACTTATCAAATTGCGAACTGACGAGCGTACATCTACGAAATGATTTTTATAAGCGCGCTGCGGGAGCAGAAGGGCGTTATCGCCTAACAAGTGCGTGACTTATCATATCTACAACAAAACTCTCCTCTTAGAAGTCACTTAAGCATATCGAACCATGAAACAATACTATGTTGCGATCTAGATAGCGGGGTATCGATTTAGTAAAATTTTTTAACGATTTGAGATCCCCGAGAATTTGTTCTGAACAAAATCTCGCCGATCTCGCAAACGTCGCGAATTTTCGTCGGTTGCTCAATTTGTAACAAAAGCAAGTTTCCGGCGTCACTAATAGCAATTAGTGACGCCGGAAACTTTAACCAGAATTTCAGTCTCGAGAAAATTACCTTGAGAATTTTTATTAGATTTGAGGACTCCCCGATGCAAAATAATCGATATATCGAATTTTCGAAACGTAACTCGCGAGAATTAAAAATCTTTGAGTTTATGAATTCTGAAATCTAATTTATATTCCGAATTCCAATTGGAATTCATAATTTAAATTATATACTAGGTTTTCATATGATTTGCACACACAATATAATATACGTGCACAACTGTTTAATATCTATAAAGATTACTATTTTATTATTATTATATCTTTTTACTAAGAAATCTTGTTTCCTAGTTCTCCCGCAATTCTTAGAGAGACATCATAAATTATTATAGTATTATTAAACGGCTCAACGATTTTTTCTTAAACCGATGATAATCGAGATATCAACTGATGGAATGAATACGTACAAAGAATAGAGACTAGTATCATCAAAGCGGTTATCTAACTTGACGCAAAAATGGAAGCACAGGAAATTACAAAGTAATTACGTAGCGACGGAAATGACGAAAATTCAATAGTTTAACTCGCCAATATCTTTTATTGCCATTTACACAGTTTACACAATTGGAAAATTCCACACATGTCTAAATACGTGTTTATAAAAATCATACATGATTACTTTTGCACATACGTGTATAAAAGTCACTCGAAAATTCTGACGTAATAATTCGACCTTCAGATTAACCTAATTAATATCTTTAATCATTACACACATGAATATGAAACTTCGCTTGTATCGTTGATCGATTGTATCGATTATCGACTGATAATCTTTCCCAATCTGATAATTCGTATAAATAACATTTTGACCTAGTCATTTTACAATTATGGATAAAATACTACACAAATTTTGACTTATCGAGGCATTAACACGTTTTTGATACACGCTGACAATTTCGCTAAAAATTTCGAGGGGAAACAAAGGGTGGCCCGAAACGATCGATTGCTTCCTTTGTCGTTCAGAGAAAGAATCAGCCATAGAGGCTAAAATCAAGCTGTAGCAGCTAAAATAGGGACAGCCAATGTTCTGAATGTAATCAATTTAGCTATGTAGCTAGGTAGCAACGACTCATTAGTTATTAAAGATGAACTGCATTTGCTGCAACACGGAGAAAAAAGATTGAGTCAACGTAACGATGAATATTTTCGTCGGGGAGAACAGAATTTCTAATTCCTATGAACTAAATTTGATTCTTAGGACCAGAAATTTTATATTTTTCAACCAAAACGCATTCGGTTTGTTCATTGTTCACGTTAATCAACTAATCCTTTTTCTCCGCGTACAACTATATAAGCTGCAGTACCTTAATTTAAACAGCTGTTAAATTTAGCTGCGGTAGTAACCAACATTAGTTTGTTACTATTTTAGCTCCTACACGGAGAAAGATAATTTTCGTAACGAAACCATCGTTGCTACCGCAGATTTTGTCGTGACAATATAAAATTTACTACGCCAGCAAGTTATTTTTCTCCGTATCTCCAATTCTTTTTCCGAGTGTAATTCCTGAAGGATCGGCGGGATAATCTCGGAGACGATGGAAGAGTCGCACTCCCTGTCCTCTCAGCTATTCCCCGCCAGATTCGCAACCGTGTTTTCCGCGAGATCGTCTTCGCACTTGACCGCCCACGGCCAGTCGCAGACCTGCTCTTTCCTGTTGAAGCGCAAACCCTTCGGGCACTTCTTAGGGTACGGCACGCCATTGCTGCACTTACAGAACTTGGTGCAGTCATTCGCCGGCAAGTGTATCGTTCTGTCCATCGGATCGGGGAACGGGCATTCGCCGTAACAAACGACCTTGTCCGGGTCATCCTCGCTCACGGACACCCCCGTTCGCAACAATGCCAAATCCTTCGGATGAGGGTTGCATACTATCTCATTGTGCGGCCAGTCGCACTCGCTGATGATCGGGTTGAAGTACAGGCCCCAGAGACACTCGTGAATCGTTTTCCAGCCGTTCTCGCATAGGTAATAGTTGGTACAGTTCGTCGGGTACGGTATCTTGACGGTGCCCTCGGCGGGGCAGTCGGGGTCCTTTTCCAAAGGTAACACGTCGACTATTCGACGATTATTCTCGTCCGACGGTTTCGGGGTCGCTGGCTGAACCACGAACGCTCGAGGACTGCAGCAACGACTGACGTTGCACGGTATGTGCTTCGGGAAGTCGCAGGCCCCGAGAAGAGGGTTGAAGCTGCAACCGTCGCTGCAACTCCGCAGGATCATCTCGCCGGCGACGCACTCGTAGTACTTGCCGCAGTCGAGCTCATGAGAGAGCTTCACGGCTCCGCCGGCGTTATTCTCGGGACATTTGACGAGGGCCTCGCTCGGCGGCATCATCGGCCGGACGATGCAGCCGGCCTCGTCAGCAGGTCGGCACCGCTTCAGCCGGTTGTCAAAGTGCTCGCCCTTCGGGCACGATTCGGAGACATACTCGCCGTCCTTGCACTCGTAGTACTGGCTGCAGGAGCATTCGTGCGGCAGCCGGACCTTCACCTTGGAGCCCTTCGGCGGGCAACACGTCCATACGCAGCTTATTTCGCAGCCGGCGTTCTTCGGGTAATCGCACATCTGGGTGGCCGGGTTGAAGTGCAGACCCTCTGCGCACCTGCGCACCTCCTGGCGATCGTGGTCGCACAGGTAGTATCTGTCGCAATATTTCTCATCCGGTATGCCTATGCAGCGCTTCAGGTCCCCCGGACACACGCGCGGCTGGTTCGCATTCGCGTCCTCGCAGATCGTGAGGTCCGGCCAGGCGCAAGCCTGCAGCGCGGGGTTGAAGTGCAGCCTGTCGTTGTACTCGTTTCTGTACGGGCAAACTTTCAAGATCTTCTTACCCTGTAAGCACTCGTAGTACTTGCTGCATTCGGACTCGTGCTTCAGACGGATCATGGTGTTCTCGGCATGCTGCTCGGGGCACTGCGCCGGTATCTCAACGTCCACGGCATTCGCCAATGCGAACATCCCCGACGCCGTGACCAGTGCGATGAGCACCAAATAGTTTTCTGCAAATTACAAATACATAATAAATAAAAATAAATAAGTATAAAAATAAAAATATATATATACAATTATGTGACAACGTTATTATTAATGATAATTATATATTTATATTATGAGAAAAATATAATGAAAAATTAAGTAAAAATAATAATAAAATATGTAATTACTATAAATAATATAAGAATATATTTATTTTCATTTATTTCTATAAATATATTTATTTATTCATTCTCTACAGGATCTGCAGATCATATTTTCAGGTAGATCTACGATCTGCGTTTGGAAATATTTTCATATTTTTCGCAATATCACACGGTAATACCGTCTTTAATCTCACCGCGCAACCATCGGGAATAATTGTTATCGACTTTTTAAGTCCGACGACGCTACCGCATACAATACAGATACAGATTTGTTCTCGCAAACGCACACTGAGCAAACACCGATGATAAAGGATTACTTTCCTAAGCTGAGTTTCAGCTTAATGCCGACTTAATGCCGAAATCTTGTCTACATTCGGGAAACCTTCCCTCACGATAATTGAAATGGTTTCAGTGTAACGTTCTGACAAAGACACATTTTATCAGTCGTGAATCTTTTCATGTCATAACATGAGGTTCTTCGCGCGTTATGTACTACTATGTAATAGCGACTCGTTCGACCGGAGGAATAATAGATTCCTGTGAATTAGGCGCACCGGCAAAGACGCGAAGGTTTTGGTCCGCGATCGTTCGACGAACGATTCAATTAGCAAACTTTGCACTTGAACACCGAGAAACTGGCTCGTGTCGCGTTATTCGTCCGTGGATGTCGATCGTCGCGTCGTTTTCGGAGGCTCACCTTTCATCGCGGAATGTTCTCGCGATTTTGATCACGTCAATGCATATCACTTTCAATAACTGACCGCTGCAATCGTATGCATTCGATTTTTATAAGACTTGCACCATCTTATCGTCGAATATATCACATCTGAATTATCATATCTGAATTTGTGCAAAATACCTCCGTTTCGATTTCGTGCCAACGGATAATCTCTCGTTGTCGCCCGACAATCAATCCGGAATTATCGAAATCAGCCGGCGAAATCGCGCGAATGTTCGGGCGGATGTTCCCCCGGAGCAATCCCGGGACACCCTGTATATAAATAGACTGCTATATATACAAAACTCATATATACGCTCTTCTACAAATTTAATATTACAATATTGCACTATCGCATTGCGGAGCCTTGAAATCGTTTTAGATTTAGATAATGTGCTCGGTGACAAGCGCGCTTATTATTGCCGTATTATCGATGTGTAAAATCTACTGCCGGAGGAACGCACACGACATCGATAAAAATAAGGACAAGGCTTGTACAAAGCGGACGTGCGTGACTCAATGAATCTTTTAGAGAAGAATCGACATATTTGCCGTGCAGATATATCCGCACTTATGAGATTACAGGAGGCATTCGAAGTTTGAGGGAAGAAGTTCGCGTTTCGTAGGGAAATTTATGGAACAAATAATGACGATGGCCACGATTCAACGCCGAATCTCGTCGAGCGAAATTAAACGGTGCGCGATTAAAGCAAGTGTTAAACGATTTCGACGACGATTAATTACGAGACACCCACCGACAAGGCGGTTACATTAAATAAGGTGATGACGTACCGCGGTATATTTGATTGTTGTTGATAAAACTCGTTATCTCGCCGATATTTTCAAGGAGATAAATATAAAGAAAATGTCACGATAGCTAGTTCTGGACACACTTCCCTTTATAAAGTAAAATTTAAATTTGATGAAGGAATATTTTACACGACTTTTTCTATACGCAACGCATTTTCCGGCGACGGAATATTGTAGATATTCAATATTTTGCGATATAGATATATGCATGATAACAGATGATAAATAAAAGCGCCAAGTTAATTAAATTCATTGAGAGGATGTCTCTCTCACAGAGACAAATACAAATTTATAAACAGGAAAATTCCTTTCATAACTCGCATAGTATGATCTTAGGAATCTGTTCTAGTAAATAATTACAAACGAACGAGAGCGTATTAAACGTTTGGCTTTATTTGAAATGTCATATAAATGTCATATATATAAGAGAGTTAGAATTATATTTAATATAAAAAACGTTTTACTTTTAAAGGGGAATTGCAAAAATAATGTTCCATCGATTTTAATTAAATACTAGCGATTTACTCTTGAGTTGCGATATATTGAATCAATTATAAAAATTCGCGAGAAAAAAACGATGAAGGTGACACATGAACATTCTATTTGGCAGGGACAAAGCAAGCACGAAATATGTAACTCCAAAGTCTGTACAATTAAGCGGACATGTTATTTCACGAATACAGTGATTTTTATCGGCATCGATAATTGAAATAAGTACCGGGGATGACTCGTCGTATCACCGATAACGATAAAAGTGCACATACTACGCCTAAAATTTTGCGAGCAAAGTTCTCTGATTAAATAGCTCGGCCACGCCAAGGGAGGTCGCTGGCTCTTTATTAAATATAGTAAAAAAGTACTCTGAAAGGTGCTTTGCGCGACACAATTTTAGAAATGATATCACCAATCGGACATTAAAATCGTTAATTCGTTAACAAGAAATGCAGGAATTGCTAGTGAATTTACAAGTTATAATTAAAAATTATCATGAGATATTTGTAAGCTCAAACTTCTTGTAAGTAAGTTCGGTTCTTTTATAAAATACCTATTATACATCAATCATTTTTATAAAAAGGATAGACATTCTATAATGAATTTATAAACTGTTAATTAAAAAATTAAGAAGGATTAACTTTAGCTCGCTATATTCCGATAGAGGACCACTGAACGTTTTTCAGTTTTTTAGTTTGCATATGACATACTATTTTTTTTAAGTATCAGACGTTCGCTACAACGAACGAATATTACTGTTTCTTAAATCATATTTGTAAAAACATTTGAGAATTTTTCCCGAAAACACTCTTCTTCTTGTAATAATAAGTTTAGTATAAATCCATATTATTTTCTTGACCTGATATTATAAACATCTTATTCAGACTCTGTAATTTTCACTTTAAAAGCTTAATAATATTAATTAGAATGAAAATGACAATGAAGCGATAAAATCGAGCGGTCTTACGGACGGGAATATGGCGAATTAAAGATTCGAAATTAAGCGTGGTTAATTTAATTTATTAATTTATTCAATTAAATTATAAAAATTAAAACTAAGATAAAAATTAATCAAGATGACAGATTAATCTATTAAAGAAATGAGTAGATTTTCCTTTTGTTCTTTAAAAGAAACCTATGAAGGAATAAGTCGCAAAATATCAGTCCTTACAAATAGTTAGAACTATTAATAAGGAGGAAACTTAAACTATAATTGCATTTAATAATCACCGGTGGTGCACCGAGGGTTAATCGGTGCTTTGTTCTCGTCAAACGTATAATTCCCTAAATACAATTAGCTGTAATTTAACGCCTGTATCAATGAAAATATGTATCGTGTCGGCTCTCGCTCTGCCTCATTCAATGCGTGGAAAGTCACACGTTTCGCATGAAATCGATGATTCGATTAGAGTACCTTCGAAGAAGAACGATTCATCCGTACCTTGGCGCGTCGCCGATATCACATTCCTCTTTTAATCGACCTTTATGACGCGTCGACACCTTGATAATCATCTTGGACAGATACTCAACTCTAGCTTTCGTCAAGTCCTACGATTAAGAAGAGATAAGTCTCGTGTTATCGACAGTTCGCCGCGTCACCGGCCGATGTAACGGCCGGGCGTTTTCGCGCGCGGCAATGAAACGCGAGGCGCCAAGTGCGCGTTCGGAATTTTCCCGCGGCGCAATAGTTTCACGGGGTTTATTTCCCGAGCGCCGTGTTGTTTGCGCAGACGGTTTTTCGCGCGCGATCGATCGCGCGCCATTCATCATCGGGTTATCTGAAACGGTGTCTTCGCCGCGCCGCGATGATATCATTTCCCTATGGAACGGGCGGCCACGATTTCGCATCGGCGAAATCTAATCGTCCGGAGTTACGCGCTCGCTCCTGAGCCCCCGCTTTGTTATGCGCCCGTAACAAACTTATCGTCCGATTCGTCGCTGCCTTTCCGATGGCTTTCCGTCGCCCGGAGAGACGCGATCGATTTCGTTGGTAAGCGCGACGCGGGCTTAGAATCATCATCGAGATCTCGCGTATCACTCAAGTGCGATATCGAATACACAGACTCACGTATACACACACAGACGCCCCCTTCCCCCCCGTAAATTAAATATTTCGGTCAAGCCATAATTGAATCCAGGTCAACGGGGTTATTTCCCGGCCGCGTTCTCTCTCTTCAGCCGAGAGAAGAGCTGTGAATCAAAGCGGACCTAGCAACACACGTTGATCTTAACTCAGGGCGCGCGCGCGCGCTTATCTGGGACGCGCGAGGCGCGCGCACGCGGCCGCGCACTTGGTAACAGCAAATCCGGGCGTCGGTAACGTCGCTGCCTGCGATATTTTCGCTCACCGACCGCGCGCGCACTCTTCCCCTCTGTCTCTCTCTCTTTCCCTCGCGCTCGCTCGATCGTTCGTTCATTCCTCCCGTCCGCGCTCTCTCGCGAACACGGCGGCGCAGAATAACGCCGCTCGTTCCCGTTTGTTGCAGCGCGAGGTGCACGGTGCACCAGCCGCGGTGCACGTCGGCGACGCGCTACCACGAAAATAACGATCCAATCGCGAGCGTGTAAACAATGGCTGCGGGCGCGCTGGTTGGCCGCGCTGTCGTCAAGCCGACCGTCCGCAGCCAACCGGCGCGCGGCGCCGACGGAAAGCGGCGGCGCACCGTCTTCGCGTCACCCCACTACGCCGTCGCACGTCGGGCATTCAGTAGGACTCGGCCATTTCTCTCGCGAAGCACAGCGACTCGCTCGGCCGCGCGACGTTTTTTTTTTTCGCGACCACATCGTGCGGGTACTCCCGGAAGTTTTGCAAAATAACGCGACGCAAAAGGATGATACACTCCGGGCGCACCAGGCTCGAGGTAAGTCAACGTCGTCGCGGCACCGATACGCGGCCGTGGAAACGCGCGTCAAAGTGCCACACGTCCGGGGGGGTCGTGCGTGTCCAATGTTGTCATTGCCGAGGCGAACAGCTGATTCGCTCCCCTGGCCTCCGCGAAGCGCGGCTGTCACCGCGGGCATCCTCATCGCCGCCGTCTCGCGTTCGGTGTTCGGACTGACGATCGTCACGACGAATGCGAAAACTACGCCGACGGGTATGACGACGGTGATGACGACGACGACGCGCGATGAGGATCGCCGCGACGATGACGACGGCGTCGCTCGCTAATTCGCGTCCTCTCGTTATTCCGTCGGGCCTGGCTGGCAACACGCTGTCATTCTCGGACTTTTTCCTACCCACCACCTACATGTTCCCCATCGACCAACCGAGTTAGCTGGCTGGCTAGGTAGATAGATACCTAGCTCAGCAACCAGCCAGACAGCCTGCTCTCCGTCCTTTGTCCTTTCTTTCCTCTTTCCTTCCGTCCTTTCTTTATTTCTCTCTTTCTCGCGCTCCGTCTCCCTCTTTCTCCCTCTCTCCCCCGTCCCTCTCTCTGTCTCGCGACCGTCAGCGGTGGCTACGCCGCCAGCGGTGCGTTCTCGTTGTTAAATGCACGCCTCCCCCTCCCCCGCGCTGGCTACTACCCTCTTCTTTGTTCTCCGCTCCGGTCGTCGACGACGACGCGCGCAAAAATCTCCGCGCTGCCCTCCCCCTCCCGTCTTTCTCTCGGTCTCTTTCTTTTTCTCTCGCGCGCGCACGGAAGCGATCCTCGACGCGAACGTGCGTTCGCGCGCGATCGGAATGTCAATGAGCGCCGTTGTTCCCGCGGCCGTGCGCGCTGTGACGAATCGGCTCCGCGAATCTCGCGACTACCGGAAGTTCGACGACAAGCGCCGTGTCTTTGCGCGCGTCTCGTCTGCCACCGACGCTCTCTTTCTCGCGTGTTCTGGAAGACACCGAACACGCGCGTCGCGGCGCGTAAACAAGCGGTCGCGCGTGCCGTGCCTTCGCGATAACAATGAGGTCCGCAGAATGCCGACGAGATAAGTAAGAAGCTGTGAATGGATCGTGTTTTCGCACCGATTGCCTCCTCGTTATCTCGTCAGTCGGATTAGACGTACAGATCGGCGCGCGGGGAAAACGTGTTGCCGCTTAACTCGCTTTTACTTCGCATCTACGCCGGATCTTTTGTCGCTCTCGACAACGACGAGGCCGGGGAAAAAGCACGTCTGGATACGTCTCGGCGATACATATCGGCGGCGGGGGAGGGGGAAGGGACCGCGCGAGCAACGGTGACAATGAACCAGGTCTTTGTTGTAACGACGCCTCGCGCCGAGTTTGGATTAGACGATTCTCTGTGCATGCGTGCGCTCGTGGTATCGCATGTTGTGCGTCGGGAAAACCTTATCGGATTGAATTTATATACATGCAACATACGCCGTTTATATAATGCGTTGTTACTATGCCGTTACCTGTGTGTATGTGTTAGTATATCTTTGCAAAATGCTCACACGACGGTTGCGCGTTTAACGCGATCACGGGCTGAAATGCGTTTCCAAGCGCGAAGAAAACATTTATTAATTCGATAAAACCTCGATCAACATATCGACCTCCGCGATGTAGCCATATTTACTGGACGTTAAAATAGCGGAAATTACATAGAGCGCCCGTATTTCACGATTCGTTAAAAAAACAAAAAAAATGTTTGCGCGCGTCCGTGCGAATTATGAATCCGCACGCACAAAAACGCACAGGTGCGCGTTGCCGGGGAAAGAACTTTTCCGAGGACTTCCCCCGTCGTGACGATTTGGCGAGATGAGCGGATAAAGCGATTGTTGTTGCGCCCCTATTTACCGGCTCGTAGTTGAAGACGCGCGTTAACGAGCGGGACGAGAGAAGCTCCGGACGCGATGCTGCGTTCGAGCGCAGCCTCGGTCCCGCATGTATCATCCGTTTCTACGACCGCTATTTTTACATACTTCCTTCATGAGTTGCAAATTGCGAAAAGTTATTGGCATATGGGCGCGCACGCATGGCTCTTCTTCGACTACATGTCAAACGCTATGCATCTACTATTAACGTGTACGCATTCTTTGTTATATATATATATATACAAATCTGCATGCATATATATATATATATATATATACAAATTTATATACACATATATACACATAAAATATATAAATAATTAAAACATGAAAATACCTCACGGGAAAATCTGCATGCGCGCGTTTCGGCACGACGTGTGTGCATACATGCGTGTGTTTGAATTCTGTGCTGCTAGCACGGCTGTATAGATCTGATTACTATGTCTACGTTTTGTGCACGCACAAAAACATTTTAATCAAATTTATCGAATTTATTTATCTAGTCTCCTCCCCCCCTCTCTCTCCTTCCCTCCCTCCCTCATACCCTACCCATCTTCCTCCCATCTTCCTCCCGCCAGCTTCTCTGACATTCCTCTGGTCTCGCAACGTGAGACTCGACGCGAAGTCTGTTCTTCTTAACCGTATTTCACCGTGCTTTTTGCACGTTCAAAGAGAAAAAGAGAGACGGCTGTGTTCGCGTGTATATGTGTGCACGTGTGCGCGCGGGTTTCTCCGTAAAAAGAGGAAAGAATCAAAATCGCGGGGAAGTGTACAAAGCGCAAGACGAAAAAGGACAGAAGGATAGAAACGGGGTTGGCCCAGAATCGGCGGACGGAAAGTGGACAGACACGTAACGCGGTTTCCTGTCAAATTTGCAGCCGGATCCTTTCGTCGAGAATGCGAGGACGAGCGTGTCGAAAGAGGCCATCGCGTTTCGCGCGCGACTTTTCCGACTCGGATCCGCTCGGCGTTTCTCGGTAATGACTAAGTCGCGAAATTAAAATACCGTTAAAGTCAGCACGGCAGCGAACAAAGAGAATAATGTCCTGTGACATATCGTCGTCATCACCGAGATTCGCGACCGACCGAACAAAAGCCCTTCGTTTCCAATCAGACTTCTTCGACGAGGAAGGTCATTGTCGTTGTCTACCTGACGGACGCGATCGCTGCGAGAAAAATCGATCTCGCGTTCATTTCCCGAGCGACGGCGAGTCGCACGCGCGAATAAGAAGAGCGTGGCGCGTCCACTCTCCGTCTATTCCGAGACACCCTGTAGGGACGAGCCGTACGGTCGTCGACATGCAAAACGCGGTCGCGTTCGCCGATGATCACGTCGCGCTGACCGGATATACCCGGCGCCGAAATATAAGCATGCAACGTGTGCAAGCTGCGGAATCTAATTTCTTAGCAACACCGTCCGCGTAGCGCTCGTGATTCCGCTAAGAGGAGGAGGAGGAGGAGCAGATGGTGGGGGCTGAGGAGAAACAGGAGGATTCATCGGCGTGTGTCGCTCGTCACGAACAATTCTCTCTCTCTTTCTCGCTTAGTTGTCGCGCGTAGCCGCGATGCCTAGGAAGGATTTTGCGAAACGATGATTCGACGGTTCGTCGTTAATCATTTCGACAGGCCGATCGATCGGAATATCGCGAGATATTAACGTGCCACCGTCGTTGTTCGCGTTGAAACTCCGTTACGACGAAGACGCGGGCCGTCCCATTACTATCGTCCGGAGAAACCCGAAGTTCTCGGGCAACTTTTTTCCGCCTGGGGAAATCGCCGCGTCCTCGGGGAATCTCATCGGGACTCGGTGAATTTTTGTTGAAACTGTCCCTTCGAAGATCTTACTTTATTTCAGCAGTCGTTCGCTCGCTCGCTCTCTCTTTCTCGCTTGCTCGCTCGCGCGTGCACACGGAAATCTCTCCGTTTTCGCTGGCAGATCTAATATTTGGAATTCGAGTAGCTTCTTAATTCTCCCTCTCTCTCTCTTTCTCTCTCCGTCCGCGCGGGAAACAGCAAGGAGCCCGGCCGATAAACAAATTCGCCGGGAATTTGCATCTGAAACGCCGCAATTTCGTTCGGAAAATTGCGAACGAATACGCCCGGAAAATCGGGGAGTCTTTCTCGCGGGTGGAAAGTCCACACCACACGCCGTTCTTCGTCATTCGCTGCGCACTCGAATCCGATAACACACGAGACTGCATCTCGCTTGTTAATTACGCGTCGGTGTTTCCACGGAAAAATGTCTCGATTTTGCTGCGCTCGCGCAGCTATCGCGGCCAGCCATCGGGACGGCTGCCAAGCTGTCAGGGGAGAATCTTCAGATAAATATCGCATATCCACAATGTTTTCATCGCGATCTCTTATTGGCCCAACGACGAGGTACACCGGGTACGTTGTATCGTTGTATAGTGGTCCCGATATTTTCCGAGATTGACTCTCTCGCGAATATTCGGACTTCGCCCTCCTAAGCAGCTCGGTAGCAGCGGCAGCGCTGCGCCGCGTCGGCGCTCTTCGTCCGGACGAGCGGGCGATGCGATTTTTCGCGAGCGCGAAGTCGTAACGGCGCATCAACGGACGCGACGGAGGTCGCGCAGGTGCACGCAACGCGTGTACCTTTCGTTTCGAATCTATTATTGACTCAGGAGGAGCTGTAAATATCTGTCTGCGTGTCCTTTGCTCCCATTCCCCTGCTGCCTCGCGATGCTGGGTCGACTCTTCGTCCGATGTGATTGACTCGTCGAGTTTCTCTTTGATTTGACGGTAATAGACGGCATCTTCCAGCCGTGTCGCCCCGTGTCACAAACGACGTACCCCGAGTGGAAATTTTCATGCTACCTATTTTGCAGTCTTAGCTTCTATCACGTTATAGAATTAAAACTTTCATATTTGGACCAAAATTCCGACTCGGTAATGTGTCTCTCTTTTACACAGTTTATAAAGTTTTGTCGAATTCATTTGATCGAAATGTCACTCGGGCGTTGCGTCATGCCGTATTTTCTGATGTTTACCACTATGACACATATGACGATAATATAATATATATTTGAGGTAAAACGATAAAAACATTTGATGATGGCATACGTGTAGAAAATAATAACGCGTGCGTTTC